ATCCTCATTGTAGAGAGCTCGCTTTCTACTTTTCGAGGATCTCTCTTCTCTCTGTCGAACACTATTCAACTGGCCACGCGGGGCTAAGTCCTTAATCGGGCAAATCGAGTCAGCTGTTCGGCTCTGAACGCGTCGAGATAACGTGGTTATCGCGGGCGATTTTTCCATGGACAAAATCGGGCATTACGTTTTCGGGAGTGTATTAAATATCGCGCGATCATAGTTATCCGCGTTTACGTGTGGTGTCGGTGGATTTGTGTCGGGCATCGAGGGAGCTGGCAACTCGGACCTAACTCGAGAGGTTAGCCTGAGAGGAGGAGGAGGAGGTCTGGGAGAGGCATCGGGCTTCAGCGGAGCAACCTTGGGGTGAGTACAATTTCTTACCTGCCTAAAATTGTTTTTTTTTTTTTAATTGTTTTATCTCAATAATTTACAAATAATGATCAAAAGAAAAAAAGAGTTTAAAGTTTTATCAAAATTTGTTTTTGTAAAGATCTTTTTCAAAAAATTTATAATATAATATAAGAAATAACATAATATATAATTATACTAGTAATTATCTAATTGAGAGATGAATAAATAGCTTGACGCGCACAAGAATTATTTTATTAAATATGAATAATTTTGAACGCTGTTTTAATTTGAATCTTATATTTGTGTTATAGCATCATCGTAGCTACGTGGCTGATAACTCCGCTTGTTGCGCATCGGTCGGTGAGTGACAAATGAATTTTTTTATTGAGGTCATGGATCTATGACACTTTCTTTACATATACATCAAATACATAAATCTGAATACCTGTAAAATTTCAAATTAAAGTATAATGAGTAAAAATCAATATTACATCTCATAGATCCATTGCCTTAAAATGGATAGGTTAATTAATTTGAGATAAATATTTACTCTTGGAATTATTTTTCTTTATTTGCCATTTTATTGTGTACTTTGCTTGAGGATATACTCGCAAGTACTCATACATATATAGAGCTTACAAAGTAGAATTTATTGATTCGCGTCGAGCTATATTGGCGTATTACTTATTATATTGTACATCATTCTGGTGTCTTATTTTATAATTAGAAATTTTATATTAAATTAATAATGTTTGATAGATTATTAAAATTTTTAATTTTTTCCTAGGACTAATATCTATTGCTTAAATTATATTAATAAATAGAAAAAGATGAAATAATAGTATATCAAATAAGACATTGATAGTTTTCAAATATAAAAGTTTTGATCAATTTTTACCAATAAAGTTTTATTAATAACACTTATTTCTCAGGAATAATGAAGGTAAAAAACAAAAAAAATGTATTATAACGGATAATTATCTTAGATGGAGAAAAAGTTGTGGAAATATAGCTAACACTGCTGTTTTCTTTTCCTTTTTTCCCAAATATTTTATTCCAAGATTAAATATTATATAAATTGGCGTACGAATCCAATGTATGTATATTCATAGAAATTCCTTCAATATACTATAGATATATATAATATATATATAAGTATAATATATACATACACGCAAATATAAAACTAAAAATATTTTACTTATGCAATACGTATTGCATTTACTTTATTTGATCAAAAACACGTTTTAATGATTATATTATTAATTATTAATATTTATTTTTATAAAGCTATATTTATATAATATATAGCATATTTATAAAGCTATATTTTTATAAAAGATATTCAAAGCGCCAATTTTTTAATTTAATTTTTCAGATAAAGCGCAAAATTATATATGATGTAAGATCTTATAAATATTTTCACGCGGAACAGAAGAATCTTTTAGATAATCTAAAAAATTATTTTAGGATAAATTAGTTTTGTATCAATCAAAAAAAAAATTTTTAATTCAAAATAATATATATTTTTAATATATTACATCAAAATACTTTTAAGACTATATGAACAAACGAGATATATTTATTAATATTTAAATTTGTTAATATATACGAATATGTACGAAAAAAAACGACAGCGATATTAATTGTGAAGGGAATTTATTTTTCCTTTTAGATCTCACATTATTCATGTCGCATTTCTCGTCTGAGATACTGTCGTTGAGTAACGATGGATTATACGAAGTCATATTTGAATGTCGATAGTGACAATGTTAAAGATGAGTTTTTAATTTTTTAAATTGACATTTTACAATTTTCATTATTTTTTAAATGTTTATACATATATCCGTTTATATTCGAAAAGTTTAATTTTCGGTATTCGCGAAATACATCTTGATATTGTTCTTTCTTTTTATCATATAACATGGTATAACATTTAAATGATTTGAATGAAAATCACTTGTGTCCCAAAGAAACGCGTAATTTTTTAATATTCTCTCTGCATTAAAGTATAATTCGTAAACGTAATATTTTTGGAAAATTAAAGCAATTTTTTTGAATTAGTATTCTTATTTGATTAATTACTTTTTGTTATAAAGCATCGCGATATGATATCGACGCGCGTGAGTAACAATAGAGCTTATGCTCTTCTATTGACAATGATAAGCTGGCAATGATAAGTCGGCAATGATAACGGGCAATAGAAAAAGTTTCTTTCTTTCATATCACTCTTCGGTTGAAAAACAGTCAATATGTGTGGCCAGGATCAACGAAAGGTAGGTTCGATCTGGCCTAAAGAATCTTCATACAGCGGAATTTATTGCACGCAATTATATATATATATAATGCTATTGATTTAAATACCTATCATTCCCAAATTAATATCCTGATTTGCGTAAGTTCTTTATACCTCGGATGATCGCAAGAGCGTCATTATGAATCCTGTTGGATCAACTAATCTTACACTGAAAAAAGAAAAAAATATTTAGATCCAAAAAAACATTTATTTAGATTGTTGCCAAGAGCTTATTTACTTAATATAATACATATATTTATTCAGAATTAAATATTTTTATTTAAATTAAGTAAAAATATCTAATTCTAAATAAATATGTGTATTATATTAAGTAAATAAGCTCTTGACAACAATCTAAATAAATATATTTTTTTATCTGAATATTTTTTTCTCAGTGTAGCACTCCTTATAAATCACGTACACCTAACTGCCAAAACAACGTATCTGTGTTATAATCGATGAATCGAGGTAAAGTGAGTAAACAGGCATTATAATTTGAATAGATATATATAGACGTACTATCATCATCTAGATAGATAAACATGTTATCATCGTTTAGGTAGACATACTATCATATTCTGGATAAGTAGGGCAACTGTCTTTTCGGGTGGGTGATCATAACTTTCTACTATCTTTTCAAAACGGAAAAGATAGTAAAAAGGATTATGTAATATGTCTTATCTTGAATCTAGATAATATATCTTATCTTATGAAACATGTTAAAGTTATGTAATATTAATTATATTACATTAAGATTATATGTATAATATACTAATAATACTAACTGTAGGATGAATGCTATCAATGTTTAATTACTTCTTTTTTTATTTAAAAAAATAAATTGACTTTATAAGTTTCTTGCAACAAGATTTAAAATATTTGAATACACTAAATGTCATTTTTGATATTGATATTAATCGAATACTGATTATTTTTTTAAATTTAAATTTATCTTGCACGAAATCGGCAGAACGCGTATGTCGTGAAAGCCGAGATTTGCTACATACAATATGTTTGCTCTTAGAATTCTTCAAATAGCTTTAATTTTTAATTCTGAAAAGCGTTATTAATACAATTCTTAATTCAAAATTTTATGTTTGAAAGAATATCGCAAACTTTTAACATATAATAAAAGATTTATTAAATAACAATGTGAGGAATACGAAACCAACGATCAGATATTGGTTCCTCACTCGCGAAATATATTACAGAATCATATTTGTTGAGCCATGAAAATATTTGACGAATCTATTGTGAAATTCGATATGTTTGGGATTGCCAGTTGTAGATGTCAGAATTCATAAAGTGGACTATTTTATTTTGTTTTCAATTCAACATATTTATGACTTTCATTGTATGTAACACTTGACAAACGATATTATATTTTTTATATTATATTTCGTGCAATAAATATTTGTTAAATGCCATTGCGAAATACTACTATGTTCTTTTCACGTTTTTATACGCAATCGCTGTCTCAATAAAGAGATCTTATCGCTGCCCCTCGCATCAGATGGACGCTACTATAACAAATGCGTGGTTCATATACCGGGAAATAACAATGATCTTTATCGTGGAGAGTTATTCTCGCAGTTTTCTTTAGAACCTATCTGCGATGCCATAGTTTCGTGTCTTGTTGAAAGCTGGGAATTCCTGTTGCATTGACTAGAATTACGAGTAAACCTGGATTTTCTCGAAAATTCCCGGAAGCTATGATTTTGGCAATAAGTTAATGGCAAACACCAATTTCTAAAGTTGAATTATGAAGATAGTTAAATATTACATTCTATAAGAGAATATTCTCTTCCTCTCTATAAATGTTCTTTCATATTAATTTTGAGATTCATGTTATCTTAATAATAAAAAAATAATAGAGTAGATATAGATATAGCGACTATTTACAGAGAAATTTTAATATTAAAATAAACAAATTTAACTTACAATTAATTTGACAAGAAATGTTACGAACAAGTACATTTTATTTATTAATTTTTGTTTCTCTTAAGAAACCATTTTCAAACACTAGACACCCCACAATTATTAGACATTGAGATTAGTTTAAATAATTTAAACTATATATAATTTGAACTTTTGTAATATAAAATACATGCACAAATCATAATATTTTATTGAGCTTTATCATTGTACATTAAAGGATAATGATTAAATATCGATAATTACCGCAAAAATATTAGGGAGTTTCATAATACATATATGTATTATTTATTTGCAAAAAGTTGAAAAAAAATAACTGTCGTTGACTCGCTGCTAAAATCATTGCAATCGGGAACAGTTTGGAAGATTCAGAATTTGTTTCT